AGCTATCGTCGTCCGCCGTAGCCACCTGCCCAGCCATTGCCTTCCACCGCAGCCACCTGCCCAGCCATCACCGTCCGTCGTAGCCACCACCTCAGCCAACGTCGGCGGCCATAGCCACCACCGTCCGCCATCCACCTTTGTACCTCTGTAAATAGTAAATACGTAGATCTCTCTCTTAATCTCTCTCTTATTTATTTATTTAATTTTTTTTTGTAAAAGATTTTTTTTGTTTTTATTTTGGATAGTAAAAGTATTCACTTGTACTGTTTAATCCTTAGCTGCTGTTTAAAAAGTATTCCCCTCTAGAATAGTAGTATTAACTTGTATATTAAAAGTATACTCACATACGATCTGCTACTGTTTAATCCTTCTATCTTATTGTTTAAGATAGAGAGAAATTCATTAGTGTTTATTGTTTAACTGAAAATAGAAAAAGAAATTCATACTGTTTCCTTTCTTTGAAAATAGAGAGAAAGAAATTAAATAAGCTACTGTTTATTTTCTTTGAAAACAGAGAGAAAGAAATTAACTAGTAGATTAGTAGTGTTTTTTTGCTTAAAACAGTAATTACTTTATTATTGTTTATTGTTTAATTGAAAATAGAGAGAAATTTAAGTGTTTCTTGTTTAATCCTAATTCCTACTGTTTCCTTTCTTTGAAAATAGAGAGAAAGAAATTAAATATATAGTAGATTAGTTGTGTTTCTTGCTTAAAACAGTAATTATTTTATTATTGTTTATTGTTTAATTGAAACAATATACTTTAGTGTTTTGTATTTAATCCTATTGTTTAATCCTCAGATTTCTTGCTTGCTGCTGACTGTTGTTTCAATCATCCTCGAAGCTTTAAAAACACATACACGGTATTTTTATTTTTTGTTCTTTTTATAATTTAATATTATTGAATTTAGATTCACTTGTAAGCTAGTATGCCACTTTGACATTGTATTTGTGTGTTTATTTGTTCTTTGAATTTTCTTGTTTAGCTTGTTGGATAACTGGACAAGATGAAGAAGAACAATATAACATATTGTACTATGTCAATGTGGTAGTATTCTGTATTCTCTACTTTTTTTTGTTTGTTTTTTTTTTGTTTGTTTTTTTTTTTGTTTGTTTTTTTGCATTATAGAAAGAATATAAGATATTGTATACATTTTTTTATAATAGCTATGTCTTACGAAGATTACAACACAATTGATGAACTTTCAAGTCCAAGTGTTGGTTCTTCAACAATACCTATTGAAATGGAAGAACTAAATCCAACACCAAATCATCCAAATGTGGAAATCATCGGATTTGAAGGTGATGTTGAAAAGGACATTGGCAGAGAAGTTGAAGAAGTGGAAGGAGAAGGTGAACCTTATAAGAAGAAGCAAAGGAAAAAATCATCAGTTATTTGGCACGAAATGACAGTGGTGAGACTTGAGAATGGGGAAGAAAAAGTGCAATGCAATCATTGCAACTTTAAATTGAAAAAGCAAAAGGATGGCACAACCACACAATATAAAAGACATTTAGACAATTGCATAAAACGCAGAATCAATCTTTCAGGGCAAAGGAACATTTGTGTGGTTCCATCGACACAAAAATCGGAGAGTGTCAGTGGTGTTCAGAGTTGGAAGTATGATCAAGCAAGGATGAGGGAGGTTATATCTCACATGATTATGGTTCATGAATTGCCATTTTCGTTTGTTGAGTATGAACTCTTCAACATAGTCATGCAATCTGCAAGTCCATATTATGAGCGGATTGGTCGAACAGCAACCACAAAAGATTGTTGGTCAACTTATGAGCTAGAAAAGAAACGAGTACAAGGATTGTTGAATTCAGTTGACAAAATTAGTATCACAACTGACATATGGACATCAAATCAGAACATTCAATACATGGTGATAACTTCTCATTTTGTGGACATGGACAGTAAGTTGCAGAAAAGAGTTCTAAACTTTGTTGAAGTGCTTCCCCCGCATACCGGTACATGTGTTTGTGATGCAATATACAAATGTTTGCAAGGATGGGGTATTGAAGAGAAAGTGTGGACAATCACAGTGGATAATGCTTCTTATAATGATTCAGCTGTGAGGTTGTTGCATGACTCTCTTTCTTTTCATACAACTTTGCCACTAGAAGGTAAGTTGTTTCATGTTCGTTGTTGTGCACACATATTGAACATTCTTGTGCAAGATGGCCTTTCTGAGATTAAGTCTATCATTGAAAATGTCAGAGATAGTGTCAAGTATATTAGTGCTTCACCTCAACGGTTGCATAGTTTTAATGAGATTTGCAAACAGCTCCAAGTGCCTAACAAGAAGTTGATTTTAGATTGTTGCACTAGGTGGAATGCAACATTTGCTATGTTGTCTTGTGCTTTGGATTTCAAGCAAGTATTTCCTCGGTATCAACTTCGAGATCCAAATTACAAATGCTTGCCTTCTGAGGATGATTGGCAAAGGGTTGAAGAGATTTGCTCTTTATTGGTGCATTTCAATGAAGTTACTAAAATTATCTCAGGTAATTTATTATACAGTTCTAAATTTTATACATTTCAATATATATGATTGTTATATAATTAAAGTATTTGTTTTTTGAATATAGGTTCTGAATATCCAACAGCAAATTTGTTTCTTCCTGAACTATATAACATCAAAGAAATTCTCGGTCAAAAGTCTGAAAGTGTAGAACCTTGGATGAAAAACATGGCCCAAAGGATGCAGCATAAGTTTGACAAATATTGGGGTAGTAGCAATCTATTACTGTCTATTGCTGCTGTTTTAGATCCTAGAAATAAGATGACATTTATCCAATTTGCTTTTCCAGTCATTTATTCTGAAAATGAAGCTACTACACAAATTGGTATTGTTCGTGATGCTTTGTATGAGTTATACAGGATCTATTTGGATAAACATACAACAGCTTCAAACCAATTAATGGAAAATGATTCTCAAGCAAGGAATACTTCTGTGCAAGGTGTTACTACTGTTTGGAAAGGGAATGGACCGGCTGTTGAAACTGGGAGATCAAAATTTGAGAAATTTGTGAGAAATGTTGATACCGTCCAACATGTGAAGTCTGAATTGGATACTTATTTACAGGAGGGTGTATATATTTGTGAAGGGGATTCGGTTGAATTTAATGCATTGGATTGGTGGAAGTCAATGAACTTGAAGTTTAGAGTATTATCCAAAATGGCATGTGAAATCTTATCAATTCCAATCACAACGGTTGCTTCAGAGTCAACATTTAGTGCTGGTGGTAGGGTTATTGATACATATCGGGCATCTTTGGGGACCGATACTGTCCAAATGCTACTTTGTGGAAGTGACTGGTTGCGTAACTTATATGATATGAAAAGAAAACCAAAAGTAAGTACTGTCAATTCTTTTATTATATCATTTATTTTCAATACTTTTTATGTCATATAACAATATATTATATATTATTTAATGTAGTTTACTGAAGATGTGAAGGCTATATCACTGGAATGAACTTGGAGTTAAGGTATTAAGCTTTTGGATGATGGATGCAGAATATAAATATATCATGCTTTATGTTTTTATGTTTTGGCACTGTTTTGGCTTGTAATGTGAGCAGACAAATTATGTGGACTTGGATTTTTATTTTCATATTAGATGCTACGTACGGATGGACTTATTAAGTTATTTGTATTAGTTTTGTTATTTTTTTAGTTTTGTTGTTTGTTTAATTACTATTCATGAACATAGATTATTTATTGTTCACAAACGAATTGTGTTCATGAACATGTGCAGGTGTTTGTTTATTAAGTGTTCACGAACGTGTTCATGAACGTAAGTGAATATGTTCGTGAACGTGCTTGTTAATGAACATGTTTGTGAACGTGTTTGTTAACGTTAATGAACATGTTCGCGAACGTGTTCACGAACGTTAACAAACACGTTCGCGAACATGTTCGTTAACGTTAATGAACACGTTCGTGAACGTGTTCGCGAACGTTAACGAACACTAACGAACGCTTAACAAACGAACACGAACAGGATTTTCAAAAACCTTAACAAACGAACACGAACACGAACACTCCAAATTCCTTAACAAACGAACACGAACAAGCTCCGTTCGTTTATGTTCGGTTCGTTAACAGCCCTAGTAGTGCCAGTGCATAAATTAAAGCTGTGACTGTTTTTTTTTTTTTTTTTTTTCCTCCCTTTTTTATTTCCACATCATTTTCTCTTTTTCTAATCACATTTGTAAAATCCCCTCAAAATCTTCACACGATTGAGGATGTCATAATGTTTAGATTTTGAATTTAGACTGTTTGATATGTATTGTTTGATAGTGTATTTAAAAAAATTAAAAATATTAACAATTGAGATTCTTAAACCGAACGGAATTAATCTCGAATCGAAATTGAACCTTTTCAAATCGAACCGAACCGAAAATAAAAAAATTGACCCGAATCTCGAATCCCCACTCCGAAAAGCCGGTTAAACTTCAATGGGAAAAGGGCCAAATAGGCCCTCGAACTTTAGCTTAAAAATCAATTAAGCCCCTAAACTTTTTAAAGGTTCAATTACACCCATCAACCATTCATTTAGGTGCAATGAAGTCCAAAAACAAGTTAATGACCTGCTATCACAGGTCATTAGGGTTCAGGCCACCTTCCGGCGAATTTTCAGACAAAAAAAAAAAGGTAACCAGCAACCGACCCTGATTTGCCGAAAATTCCGCCGGTCACTTCTTTTGTCGAAAATTTTGCCGGTCACTTTTTTTTTTTTTGTCGCAAAATTCGCCGGAAAGTGACCTGAACCCTAATGACCTGTGATAACAGGTCATTAATTTATTTTTGGACTTCATTGCACTTAAATGAATTGTTGATGGATGTAATTGCACCATTAAAAAGTTTATGGGCCTAATTGACTATTAAGCTAAAGTTCGAGGGTCTATTTGATCCTTTTCCCAACTTCAATTGTTCTACACCTACAATTGAAGTTCCAATAATTTATTTCTTTCTTTCTTTAATGTTTGCTTGGTGGGGTTCCTATTCCCGGTAATTTGTATACTTCCCCTCCAGAAATTCTCACTATGCCGATCTCAACCATATTGACATAGGTTTTTCCACTGCGAGTCGATTCCAGTTATACATATTGCTGATCCAGGATTTTGTAAAGTTTGGGTTTCAATCGTCGATGAAATCAATTCTCTGATCTCCAGTTCTTCAAAATGTCCGGGACTCCAGAAACCTTATTCATAGGTCGAGCTTCGTCGCCGACCGCTAGCGTAGCCACCGCATCCGCCGCCGGCAATCACTTTATTTCCCGATGGTACAGCTCCTCCGCCAATGCGTGCCGTGGTTTCTGGCACGACGCTGCTTTGATTGTACCTTCGATTCTGTTTATACTGTACCTAGGGTTTCATGCAAAGAGGAATATAAAGAAGCTTAGGAACCGTGGGTCTTATGTAATGATTGCATATTATGCTCTATTGTGGTTTGCTACTCTGGTAAACTTTGCCTGGTCATCCCTGCAGGTACTATTCTTTTCTCAATTGATTAATTAATCTGCAATATTTTGGCATTTCAGTTTATTTGCTCTTCAGAATTGGATTGATAAGGGAAAAAGGACCACAGTTGAGCTATTTTGTTGCGGCCTAAATAATTCTATTGCATAGAGAACTATGAAAAATATTATTTAATTTGTTCTATTTGTAGTTTTTTGAGCTTTTCTGGTGCTTGGTTTGGTCCTCATTGCTCGGTTACTGAGATTTGACTTGTAAAGATAGACTTAGAGGGATGTTGTGATTTTTAAAATGTGACACAAAATGGTTTTATTATATTTAAATTGGTTTTTGATTGATCATGGGAAAACCCAGATAAAATAGGGCTCAGAGGTGGTGACACAACAGCTTTTTGGACACTTAGTTGCTGAGGTTGCAAGTCCATTTGAAACATTTGTGCTTGTTAGGGCATTAGAGAAGTTCCAATATACAGATGTATATTACTCTGGAGTTCTGTAATTTGGTTTACGGAAAAACACACTGCTGAATCAAGAGTATTGTAAATTATAGTTTTTTTAAAATCTTATCGTTCTTATCGTTTTGTTTAGCTAAAATGGTCAATGTATTTCTATTATCTTAAGAAAGAAAGATTGTAAAATTGTTTAAATTTTGAAGTTACTTCACTGACTGGAACAATGATATACTACAGGCATGGCAGTGCGCTCCTGGAAAGGATGTTGCTTGGAATCTTTTGTCATTGTTGGCAGCCTCTGGAATGTTATGTTTAGAGATTAGTCTAATGTCCTTCTTACTTCACGAGAATTATGCCACTGGATTGGAAACTTTAACACGCACTTTCTTTGTGTCTGGCCTTTTCGTTGGCGTGGATGTTCTATTAAAGGTAACACTGTATCCATCTCCAAAGTGTGAGACTATGGTTATGATGCTTCATGTATATTTCTTCCTAATTGAGTGTGAAAGATCACTGTTGAGTTCCAGCTTCTTCTTTTTCTTCCTGAGAAAGATGTATGTTTTCACTCTGCTTTTGTCTACATAAAATGCTTTAGACCATATTTTAAGCAAATGGATCAATCCAAGAAGGCTGGTAAATGCAATGGACTGGGCTACAACTTACAAATAACAATTTAGTCTTATATATCCTGGGGTGTGTTTGGTTCATGGGGTTAGACATAAGGAATGGAAATGAAAGTCATACACATTGTTTGGTTGACAACTTTTTATAACACAGGTATAGGATTTGGTTACCCCTATAATTACAAAACCCATTACCTAAAATAAGGTATCATTCCATAAATTCAGCATTATCCCTCATTTCATTGCCTCCTCATTTCGGTACCTCCTCATTCGTCTCTCCTCACTTCATCAACTTCCTCACCGCATTGTCTACTCACTTCATCGCCACTCTTAATATCAATTGCATTGATTATTTGTTTTTGCATTTTTAAAACATTTAAACCAATTATAGGGTCATACATAATAAAGCTTCAATATTGGTAATCATTCCAATTCCACCTTACTACCAAATATGCAAAATACTTTCACCAAAACCCATTCCAATTACCAAGTATTTGATTCCCATTCCCATGTTCGAACCCAACACACCCTCATATTTCTTCACAAACCAACTTAAATTCACTTTTTAAGTAACTTGTGGCATTTGTTCTTTTTCTGTTCAATTTTAGCCCATGTCATATTCTTTTTTCTTTTTTTTTTTCTTTTTTTCTTTTTATGTCCTTGTTGGGAGTTTGTTTTGCAAAAGTGGTTAATGGTTGATGAATGTGTTTTATTTCATGCTTGTTGGAAGTGTTTGTCCAAGAGTTATGCACAGTTAAAATAATAGTAGTTAAACAGGCAGGTGATTTGTGCCCATAATTTTACTCTCTGTCGGCAGGTAATTCTTGTATTTGGATTTAGGATTCCACTTTTCGTTGATGTTGGATCAGCAAATGGAGGAAAATGGGCCATATGGTTTACCTATAGGCTTCTGCTAACTGCAGCTTATGGGTACATATATTTTGTGCACTTCTCGAAGTGGAGAGATAATCTGCCTCGTGAGTTGCATTATTCAGTCCCCTTGTTACCCTTTCACTCTTTCTGTTTTGTTCTTGCTATAAAACATTTTCCCACAAAAAAATTTGCAGCAAGGCCAGCCTTCTACAACTATGTCATAGTTATGTTCGCAACTAATGTGGCAGTATTGTTTGCTTGTGGGCTTGGTGTATTTGGGATCGGCTTTGGTTCCTGGTACTGCATAGTGCATATACTTCATTTCTGAAATTAATCATCCAAACAAATTTAATACTATATTGTTCCATTGGTTTCAACTTAACATGAAATGTTAATATTGCAGGTTATATGATTTGAGCGTTATCTGCTATCACTCTCTGTATCTTCCCTTTATCTATGCTACGTTTTTGGCCGACTTCTTTCAGGTAGATATAATAATCCATGTATTCATTTCACTGTTGCAAAAATTGGCCTAGGCAGCCGATTAGGTGCTAGGTGCCCATAGGCTAAGGGGATTTTACCCTTAGGCGAACATTAGTTGGCCAGCCGATTAGGCGGCCTAGGCGCCCGAGTTGGCCCAACTTGCCAACTCGGCTGAGATTTTTTTATTTATTTTTTTTTTTTTTATTATTATTTTTTTTTTTGGTTTTGCTGTTTTTCTTATTATTACTGAGTATTACTCGGGCGCTACTGACTAGCGCCTTCTACAACATTGATTCATTTTGATCATTCATTCCTCACTTGGTCATTAATCATTATTCTGTTTTGTCAACAATACAGGAAGAAGATTGGCTTCTGGATGAAGCATACTATTCAGAGATGAAGGATGCTGGATTCTTTGATGCTGATTGGGATTAGGATATTGCAACTCGTATATATATAATAATATATACTCCGTAGTATAATTGTGAATATTATTATCTATTGGAGAGAAATGGGCACAACCCCCCTAGTCTGGGAAGGCCTTTTCTGTACGTAGAATGACCATTCGATGTTGCAAAATATATCAACTGTAAATCACTGTTATGATTTCAATAATAAGTCCCATATGCGAATGCCAAACTCAGATCTTCATACTTGAGCCCAGTAGATTGATACATTCAGTTCTGGTACCATCTTTGCTGTATTAGAGATACATATCTATTTCATCCTTCAACCCCCACCACCAAATTCTTCTTGCCATCCTCAGTTTCCAATACCATTTATCACCGTATTGGTGTATATATACACCTGAACCTTGGTCTCCACATTGCCGCTGTTGAGATTTGAACATTGATCTCTTCTTTTAAATACTGTCTACTGAACTGTTGAGCTAAGTTCGTGCGGGCATCAAAAGTGTTATCTCAAACTTTGTTTGAAGAAAACCAATAGTTTATTTATGTAAAAACGTAACTTAAAAAATGAAAATAGTCAAGTGCACAACTCAACTGATCAACTAACTCAAAATAAGTCGTGGGACCATGAGTGGTTAATTTAGACCACAGACAGATGGTAACAAAATCACTATATTCGGAGAACCCATATGCATTAAGTCTTAATAAAATGTATAGAGGTTTTCCAAAAAAAAAAAAAAAAAAAAAGGAATAGAGAAGTGGCAGTGGCCGACACATGAAACATTTACACACCAGGCTGGTCCACCAACAGCCCGCCATCTTCAGTCTATATCATCACCCAGTACTCATCCTACATACCATTGCTGCCTTTGTATTTTTCTGTTTGGTAATTTTTCCTTTCCCAAACACGCCTTTATTTCTCACTCTCTCCCAGTCCCACCACCTTCTCCTAAGCTACCAGGCCTTCTTTGTTTATCGTCATTATATTCTAAGAGGGCTTCTTCTTGTGTTATCTCTCCATCTGCCATGGCTTCTTTAGTGTCTGCATTGCTCTTTTTGGCCATGGCTGGCCACTCAAGTAAGCTTTCTTCTTTCTCTTTTCTTTTATTTACCTTATTTTATCCTTCAGCTTAAAGTTTCCTTTTTATTCAAAGGCTGGAAAATGATGTTATCCGCCTTTAAATAGCAATGGCAAGTTGAGTCCCCCCCACCCTTTTCTCCTTTCTGCATTTTCCTTAACATTTCTTTCAATTCTCTGATATTTATAACAAAACACAAATAAAGATCCAAGCTTTCCCATTTATAAACTACTTTGCTATGTTTTATGTATATAATAATGCTTTATTTTCAAAGCTCTTCTTCAAGTTCAAGTTTGAATTGAAACAGATTTTAAAGATTTAAAAAGGTAAATCCAACCAAGATGACCAAGGATATAGATTTGTAACCACAAGGTTACATGTTCGAATCTCAGCTCTCTTGATTTGAGTCGGTCAGCTATGGACAACTTAGGTTGGTTTATCTTTTGTAGTTCTTTAACAGTTAGATTTACTTAGTGGGTTTTCCAAAGATTGGGACCATTTTTAATCTCTTGATTATAGTTATGATTTTAAACATTCTTGATTATACCCTCTTAATATATTAAGCTAGCTAAGATAAATAAAATAAAATCCAAAGAATTGACATTATTAATAACTTGTACTTTTCATTTTTATTTAATGGGGTTTGGTAGGTGCAACATGGTGCATTTGCAAGGGAGGGATGAGTGATAGTGAGTTACAAACGACACTGGACTATGCATGTGGGAATGGGGCAGATTGCAACCCCATTCATCAGAATGGGCCATGTTATAACCCCAACACTGTAAGAGCTCATTGCAATTATGCTGTCAATAGCTTTTTCCAGAAGAAGGGCCAAGCTGCAGGCACTTGTGACTTCTCTAGCACTGCCTCCATAACCACAACTGACCCCAGTAAGTCCCCATTATTACCTCTTTTTTGCTATTACTAATTTTCATTGTTGTAAAAATCGTCCTAGACGGCCGCCTAGGCACCGACTAGGCGCCCCTAGACCGAGGCGATTTCAGTCCTAGGTGACTTTTCGGCCGACTAGGTGTCCTAGGCGTCGAGTTGGCGCCTAACTCAGCCGAGTCGGTGCCCAACTAAGTCGAGTTGGTGCTCAACTCGGTTGAGTGTTTTTTTTGCCTGCTCGGCTACTCATCTTTTACATTTCTCCAATCATGTACTCAACTAACCAGCTAACATATGCATTTGGTTAGTTTGAGAATTATAACAGTCTAAAAACTCCTAGCCCTAAGTGGAAAAAGTGGAGACAATATAGTCAAATTACTCGACCGCCTAGGCGTTTTAGGTGCTAGGCACCCCCGAACGCCCGACTAGCGCCTAGCGCCTTTTGCAACATTGGTAATTTTACTTTTTTTTTTTCTTGGAGATCAGATTTTCTTATTTTATATATTTTTTGGTGTGATTTCTAGGTATAAATGGTTGTGCTTATCCCTCCAGTGCAAGGTATGACTTCCTTCTATAACTTGTTTTCTAAGTAGTAAAGTATAACAATTATTGATTAGTTCTTGATCAGGGTTGATGAATATGACAAGTCCTGTAGGTTTCTGGGTTTCATGTCTTTAGGTCCTTTAACTGTAGTATTTGATGATGGGCATTTTGTGGCTATGGCACTAAAGTCAAGTTTTAAAAAACAAAAAATGACCTCTAGAGTGGCCAAGATAGCTAAGGATACAAACTTGTAACAACAAAGTCACGAGTTTCAATCCCAATCTTCTTAGTTTTAGTCGGTCAGCTATGGACAACCTAAGCTGGTTTACCTCCTGTGGTCCTTTGTCGGTTAGAATCAGAAGGCGGGGTTTACCCAATGCATACTCTCGAATAGTGACGGTGCATTCTCTGATTTCTAAAGTCTTGATGCAAGAGAAGCATGCATTTTGATTTTTGATAAGGACCACTTTGCACAGTAGTACATCAAATTTTGGATCTGCACATCATTAATGTTGTCTGTCTTGTATGTAAAAGATTGCTCATTTATTGCAATCTACTATTACAGTCTTCATCATATATTTATATTCATATTCATCATGTTAAAAGAAAAAACAAAAAGAAAATAATAAAATAAAAACACCATGGTTCTAGACCCCCTTTTGGATTAGGTAACATCCAGTCATCCACCATATACTTCAAAACCTCTTAAAGTAAACAAAACACAGGATTAGTGAGATTAATGTTAATCCCATGAACCAAACAACACCATGTAGACCCCCTTCAAGTCATTGAATTGGTTAATTAGCTACAACTGTGGTCTTAATAGTATGTGAGTATGTGCTCATTTTTTTTGCCAATAGGGTTGGTGTTTTTAGTTAGTAATAAAAATGATTTTTTTTTTTTTTTTTTTTTTTTTGCAATGTGTTTGTAATTAAACCAAATATCTATTTTGGGTCATATAGTAAGTAGAATCAGAAGTCATGAAAATAACTTTTTACTTTTGATTTCCTTTAAGTCAAAAGGAGGTGAGGGCAGTGAAAATATTATATTGCACAAAGTGGGTGGCTGCTTTTATGAGATTAGACTATTAGTCTTGTGATCCTTTATATAGCTGTAGGGGGATGAGCTCATCACTAATATAAAAAAAGATTACATGATAAATCTCTTCAGTCTCCATCCATATATATATATATATATATATATATATATATATATATATATATATATATATATATATATATATATGTAACTTTTCCCCTACAGAGTCTACTAGCTTTGAATTTATAATGCTTGTACGGGCTTAGATCATTGGTTCAGTAGACAGTATTTGGGAGAAGAGACCAATGCTCGAACCTCGATAGCGGTAGTGTGGGGATTATGTCCAAAGTGGACAGATCCCTTATGCGCACTGACATTTGGCCATGTATGTTGAGACATTGAGTCACCTACCGTGATTTACATCCTCCTAAATGTTTTGTCGGCCTGGGGTGTGGGAGACCTTTAGGGTTGGAGATTCAACATTTCGGGAGAAGCTTTGAATTTATAATTTAGCATCATTCATGCTAGTAAAAAGTAAATTAAACCCATTTGTCTCTAACCTTTATTATTTCAAACTTTTTTTAAAAATCTAATCTATGACTTCTTTCTGTCTCTTATATCGTATCATAGTATGTTACTATGTTTGCACTTGCATGATAATGATGTCCATCTCCTTGCCCTTTTGGTCATGCATAAATCTCACTATTATATTGTTACACCAATGAACAATGATAAATATATAGACTGAAAGTAAGGAAATTAAAGCTTAAAATTACTTGAGTCTCACTATTGCCAAGATTGTGACTTTCCACTCTTGGCCCAAGAAGTATATATGGTTATTCAAATATATATATTAAAATTATTATTGCCTTGAAAGCATCCAAAGCTTCAATTGGCTTCTTTGCGAAATGAGAATGCTACTTGGACTTTCTATTTTTACTCCCGACTTTTACTCCTTCACTTTAACTTTTGATGTAGATATTTGTTTTGGGATTCACAGAATGAAAGTATACCACATTATGAAGTAAACATAAGGGAGTAGAAGTTGAGAATCCATGTAGTAAAACTCTTTGTGAAATGGCAAAATATGAAAAATATTACATGGATTTCTACTTCAACTCCCACTCACAAATTAATGTAGACACTTTTTCTTAGACCCACATAATGAAAATATCCAATCATTAATTGCCACATCATAGAATAAAAGTGAGCGAGTAGAATTTGAGAATACATACAGGCCCTGTTTGGTAAAGGGTTGTTAATAGCTGTTAGTAATTAGCTGATTGGATTAATTATAAGGTATAACTAGTTGATAACATTACTAGTTAATAACATTAGCTGATTGTAGAAAAGTGTTTGATAAATTAGCTATTAGCTGTTAGTTGTTTAGTATAGTTTCTTATCTGAAAAAGCTAATTGAAAAAGTTGATTTTGAATAAAATTTGGGAGTACATACATTACAACTCGCAAAATATATTAGTGTAAAAAGTCCCCTTTTTTTATTCTAGGGTTAGACATTCTTGGTCCTTGTGGGTTTTTGTCAGATGAGGAGGCAAATAAATGATGGAGCACATGTAATACTAGTCCTAGTCCTTTAATTTGTGAAAAGTAGGTGGGAATGAGGAGAAGAAAAGTAGAGAGTGAGTCATGTATGTATAGGACTTTCCTGTCCTCATTGAAACAACAAAATCTGTGAGTGGAGTGATGGTAGTGAAGGACAGACAGGTGCTTTGAGATAGGTGCCCTTAATTTCTTTCTTTCCTTTCTTTATTGACAGACGTACATTTGAGATGTCTTTAAATCTATATATGCATGCATGTGATGTAGTATGTAGAGGTAAATCCACAACTCTTTTGAATGTAAGTAAACCTTGCCATGTGATTCTAACCGGCAAAAGATCACAAGAAAATAAACCAGTTTAGGTTATCTATAACTGACCGGCTCAGACCAAGGGGGCAAAGATTCAAACTTGTGACCTTGTGGTTACAAGTCTAAATCTATTGTCATCTTGATTGGGGTTACCCTTATACTTTTGGTTCTTTCTTGGGCTTGGGCTTGGGCTTGTGTTTCTATAGTACTGTGTAAAAAAAAAAAAAAAAAAAAAAAAAAAAAAAAAAAAAAAAAAAAATATATATATATATATATATATATATATATATATATATATATATATATATATATACACACACACAACGATTGTATATTATAATCGTTGTATAAAAATTGACGTTTATTAAGCATGGTTACAGTAGGCGACAGGAGGTAGAGTAGCGCCTAACGCCTACGCGGCTAATTAAAAATAAAAAAAATTAGCAAAGCCTACTTGGCTAACTCGGCCGAGTTCGCCGCCAACTCAGCCGAATTGGATGCCTAGGCAGCCGGCCGCCTAGGGGCTAATTCGCCTCGATCTAGGAGCGCCTAGCACCCGAGTGGCCGCCTAGGCCGGGTTTTGCAATAGTGATATTAGGTAACCTAGTAGTATTACATTTCTATTGTAGTGTATGAGGGGTGGTTTAATTTGCTTGTGGTGTGCAGTGGAAGTGGAAGCACAAGCCCTACCACACCTTCAACTGGGACTCCATCTACAAGCACAGGCAGTGGTTCTTCTCCAAATCCAATCATCACTACTACTCCCACTACTACTACTACAGGCGGCAGCGGTGCTTTAGGAGGTGGCTTCAACAATGGTGGTTTAGGTCCATCGGGTTCAGGTGGTGTCGGCACCTACAACGATATGAGTCATGCTGGGATTTCAATGCTAATAAGGAATAATGCCATTTTCCCCTCCATCACCCTCCTAATCTCAGCACTAGCACCATTATTGTGGCTTCAACAAGGCCAGTAGATCGATCTTTAGATGAACGAACTTCTTTTTCTAAATACTGTCTACTGAACCAGTGCGGGCTTTGGATGAATGAACTGGTGGCAACATTATTGGATGGGTATCTCAAAATTATTGATGTTGAAAATTTTATTATGTGCACTAGTGGTGGGGAATCAGGCAGTACGTACATGTGATAGCCACTGCACTTACCCTTTAAGGAATATCTTTGGACAGCCATGCATTTTTGTTTTTTTTCTTCTTCCTCTCTATCTCTCTCTCTGCCAAAGATCACGGGCGTTGTTAGTTCCTTATATGGATTCTTCAATTGTTATTTCATGAATCATGGTCCATCTTACATTTTAGATCTTGCAATTAACATATTATATATATATATATATATATATATATATATATATATATATATATATGCAATTAACATATTATGTACCTCTAATTTATTTATAGGTACATAATCTGTTACTCTGTAATATATAAACACATAACATGTTAACTATAACATATAATTGAATATTATTTTGGACCAAGATAAGGTGAATTAATCTTGGTCTATGGTATAATTTGTCATGACATATGGGGCCCACCTCCTTTCCGGCCAATCATTATTGTGTGGACCATGGTCCACACAAGTTGTGTGAACCATATTTTGTCTACTGTAAAATAATGTACATTCAGTACAAAAATAATGTATATTCAATACAAAAATAATGTATATTGTATTCAGGGGATGTACATTATTTTTGTTCTGAGTGTACATTATATTGTATAATGTACATTCAGTACAAAAATAATATACATTTAGTATATTAAAAATATACTTTTTGTTATGGTCTACATAACATTGTGTGGACCATGGTCCACACAATAATTTGCCCTTGCCGGCTTGACTCTTCTCCCAAATGATGCCTTATTTTCATTTGTATTACGGTGTGAATAAAGTAGCAATTTAAATTAAATTATTTGATAGGGAGGAATATAATTATTGGGAATGAGAATGAAAAAAAGTGATATAAAGACTTTAAATTAAATTATTTGGTAGAGACTAAAAAGTGATAAATATATATATATATATATATATATATATATATATATATATATATATATATATTTGTATCCCTTCCTTTTCTCTTTGGAGATGTCCTTAGTGTTGAAGTCTAGAAGAAAACCTATTTAGTTATTTTTAATATTATAAAACCATTAATTTTGATCCTAATCTTAAGAGCATCCATCTTAGGTTTTTGTAGGCTTCCGCAATAAAGAAACTTGCTTCTCCTGACCATGATATTATGGTTCCTTGATTCTCATCCAAGGGGAAAATAGTTTAGCTCCCTATCTTCAGTTTCCAAATGATTTGCTTCAAATTTGGATGAAATTGCATGATTGGATCATTATTTTTTATTGTGTTAAGATGAATGAACCAACATTTGTATGATCCAGTTTTCTTCAGAAAGCCATTACTCTGGAAATTAATTCTAAAATTTAAAATTAGAACTAATTCCGTAACATCAGAATTAATACCCAGACGGTACTTCGAAGAGCGGTTCGAATGGTCCGAAACGTGAGTAGTTCGAAAGGTAATCACTCTGAATGGTACCCAGAAGGTTATGGGAGGTGTCAACCATTCAGTGATTAATACTCGGATTGAGTCAAGCCTTTTTCAAGCTTATTTTGAGATTTGATTTGCACTCCTTGCGCGCGAGAGAGCGCATTTATGCTATACTATTCAACATCCCTCTAAAAGGGTCTTATATATATAGTGGTGCAAATCCCCTCATTTTTCCAATGTGGACAAAGGCTACTTATAAGCCTTTCCACCTTCATTTCCCAACTCAAATGGGTCTACTTTGAGAATCAATTTCTCATTCAACCATTATCCATTTTGAGCGTACAATATATCAATCTCTTCGTCTCACTATGAAGAACCCGAATCCACTTTGACCTAACCCAAATTGGAAGTAGACACCACATATATTTGTATCACAAAATGGTCACTTTCAATGCCACTTTTTATGCTATTTTTCTAACAATCCGCCACATAAATGAAAAATTGATTTTCGGGGTTGTTTTAAAACGGTTGATCCCTGCATAAGATAGGTAGGTGTTACCCTTTGAACCGTCCCTTCTGAAGATATATTTACTATACTGGTTGTTCGGTAGAACGCGATGCCTTTGAACCGACTGCTGTTTGTGTAGACGATGATATATCCCATATATATATGTCAGTTATCGGTCACCGACTAATAACCAAGTCTTACTAACCGCAAAATTGAAATTTTTTCAAAGTTAATAACCGTAACCGACCGATAATCGATTTTTCGGTTGGTTCGGTTATCGGGCAGTTAACCGATATTTTGCTCACCCCTAGACACCCCCACACTTTTAGGTATTGGTAGGAAGGTTTCCTCGCTTTCCACAGCTTATAAGGAGTCTTGTCGAGCTTTTTGCGGGGTACTTTGTTTAAAAGGTAATTACTTGTTAAAATTGCCTCACCTCACATATTTTGAGATAGACTCAAACTTATAAGTATCACATTCATCATCTCTTTCAATGTGCGATTCTTGCGTTCGGCAACACCATTCGATTGAGGTGCGTAAGGTGCTATATGCTTGTGTATGACACCTACACTTGCGCAGAAGTCACCGATAGGTGCTTCGTACTCACCACCTCTATCGCTTCTAACATTCTTAATCTTATGATTAAGTTGGTTTTCAACTTCATTCTTATACTGAATGAATTTCTCTAAGGCTTCATCTTTGCTTTTCAGCAAATACACATAACAAAAACATGTGTTATCATTGATAAACGTGATAAAATATTTATTACCACCGCTCGTTTGTATCGATTTAAAATTGCACAAATCACTATGGATTAATTCAAGTGGTTCAGTTTGCCGTTCAACCGATTTGAAAGATGCCTTAGTTAGTTTTGGTTCAACACAAATTTCACATTCATTATTTGTGTTTATTTGGAATTTAGGAATATGGTTAATGCTAATTAATCTACGTATAGAATTAAAATTAACATGACCTAGTCTACCATGCCATAAATTGGAAGACTCGAGCAACTTTACTTTTATTCATTACGGTCATTACATTGAGCTTGAAAATCCCATCAAGCACATAACATTTTCAACTTTATCTAACTCGAAAACCATACGGAATCCATGTTTGTTCAGCAGCGAGCCAGACACAAGATTCTTCCTCAACTCTGGAACATACAACACGTTGTTTAACGTTAGTTCCTTCCCGGAAGTCATCTTCAGAACCACATTGCCTACGCCCTCCACAACGAACTGAATAGAATTTCCCATTTACACCTTTTTGCCCTCAACAGTCTGGAAGGTGCTAAACAGCTCACAGTTGCAATATAGATTCATTGTTGCACCGGTGTTGATGAACCATTCGCGATAGTTGGAGCCCATGAGGTTCACCTCAGTCACCATAGCCGAAATGTTGATCTCGGCATCCTTCTGGCTGCCTTCTCCAACAACGTTGGCTTCAGAACCATTGTTCTTCTTTCTTGGAGCTTTGCATTCAGATAACTTATGGCCATTCTTGCCACAGTTGAAGCATTTACCATAAAACTTTATTTTGGTAACGCCTCCCTTTGGACCTAGCTTCTGCTTGTCTTTCTTGGCTTTCTCGGAGCTTTTAATGTGCTTCACAACGTTGGCCTTAGCATCACCAATGACAAGAATTTTTCCATCATTTTTCATGTTCCCCTCCTCAATTTGGAGTCTTTAGATAAGGTCTTCCAGGTTCATTTCCTTTTGCTTGGGTTTCAAGTAATTCTTGAAATCTTTCCAACCTGGAGGCAACAAGTGGATTACAGACGCCACTTGGAAGGCTTCACTCACCACCATGCCTTCATTACGGATCTCGTCAAAGATTAATTGTAAATCTTCAACTTGACTAAGCACCGTCTTGGAATCAACCATCTTAAAGACTTAAAGTCAAAAAATCGACCGACAACAAATTTCTTTGTGCCGATATCCTCGCTTTTATACTTGTGATCCAAGGCTCCCCACAACGCTTTCGTTGTGCCAATTTTGCAATATACATCGTATAACGCATCACACAAATCCATTGAGAATATAGTTTCGACAAAGGAAGTAAGAATCATCCCCATATGCCAACCGCCATCGCAGATTGTGCATCATGTTCTTTATCTCATGAACCCTCTCGGTCAAGAACCTTGCCAAGCCAAGAGTTGTTAGGTAAAGCATCATCTTTTGCTGCCAACTCTTGAAGTTCGATCCGTTGAACTTCTTCGGCTTTTCAGCCGAACCACTCGGTACTGAAACTGGTACCCGCATCGTGGGGATGTACCCCTCGGTGCTCCCACTGGTTTGTGAACCAACGTTCACCGGTGCCTGGGAATCTGTAACATTGTTGCCACTCGCACCATTGTTATTTCCAACATGATCGTCCCCATTGTTATTTTCTAGCAATACGGGGTTCTCCATCTTCTTCAAGGAAAATAATAGAAAATAAGGTTTTAAGCTTGTAACGAAATAATTATACGAAAATATTATTTCTAGAAAAAATACAAGCACAAGCAATTAAAGGTTTAGGGGTAGTACGAGTTGAGCAAAATACTCTTTCCTTAAAACTTTATTTGCTACCTCCCAAAGGTGTTATGAGTGTTGTAACTTAGGTTTCCTAAGATAAAACGTACTACGACTCAATGTTTGAGAACTCAAACAAATGAGCCTAACGAACTAGAATACGAATAGAACACATACAGAGGAGGAGGAAGATGAGCCAGGTTTTTTAGAGCAAACTATATGCATATGTATGTTGTGTAAAATCCACATGCTTAACTAAGGCTTATATATATAGGATAAATGAGGATAAATAACATTTATCATGACATTAACAATGATAATAAAATCAGTTTGTGCAACCTTCATAACAAACAACCATTAATCTGGAAATTAATTCTAAAATTTAAAATTAGAATCAATTCGTAATTAATTTCGTAACATCGAAATTAATACATAGAACGGTACTCCGAAGAGTGGTTCAAATGGTTCGAAAGGTAACTACTCCGAATGGTACCTATCCAACCGAGCAGTCCAAGTCTCCATTAGAATGGTAGACCCAAGTTATTACTCAGACAGTAGCTAAAATGTTAGATTTGATTTACACCCCTCCCTGCGCGCAAGAGAGAGCCCCTATGCTATACAATCCAACAACATCCCTCTAAAAGGGTCTTGTATATATAGTGGTGCAAATATCTTTCTTTTTTCAATGTGGGACAAAAGCTATTTATAAGCCTTTCTACCTTCATTTTCAACTCAAATGGGTCTACTTTGAGAATCAATTTCTCATTCACCCATTAT